CCGCCGTGAATGTGGTACCGGAAGTCGTCGTCGTCCGCGGAGGAAGAAGCCTCTGAGTCGTAGGTGCTGCGGTCGTCGACCAGGCCCGGCGGGGGTGATAAAGGACTGGGCTCGTCTTTGATGGACGAGGAGGATCGCCTGCTGTTGTAGGGGGTGCGGGAGAAGAAGGAGGAGGCGGAGGAGGAGCAGGGCGCCTCGCTGCGAGGGTAGGAGTAGTTTGCTACGGGGTAGTATTTCGATACGAGGGTGAGGCCGAGTCTGTTGGTGGTTTGCTCCATTGCGGGCTTTCTGCCCTGTTGTGGTGTTTTTTTGTTTTCTTTCTTCTCTTGTGTTCTAGGTAGTTGCCAGTAGATGAAGTGGAAGAAGTTGTTGTGTTGATGAGAAGTGCTGAGGAGGGTGTATTAAGGGGTTTAGGAGGGAAAGCTGCTGGTTGGGAAGAACGTAGGTATGGCGTTCGTAGGGAGACGTATAGTCGAGAGGGGGAGGGACAAGGAACAAGGAGGTATGATATACAAATAGTCTACAGTCCAGAGGTTGGAACAAATAAAGGACAAAGGTTGAACTCAGAGTGAAGTAGAGAGACGTACAAGTTAGTGGTAGTAGTAGCAGTAAACACATGCGAGAAAAACAACACCAAGACATGCATTGCAGAGACTCTCGATGAGATGAGACATGACCTGCGGGGCAAGCCTACCTTACATACTACTACTACTCCTACTTCCTTGATAGTTACTAGTACTAGTAGTGGTCTTTCCCCTACCCTCGCCCTTCTTTTCTCCCCCTTTTCTCTTCCTCTCATCCAGAAGTGGCGTCGCGAATGTCTAGGTTGGCCCTTGACACGGGAAGCATTCCTTGCTTCGACGCAGCAAACATCGAAACTCTGTCCCGCTTCCAAGTGGGCGTCGCGTTTCCTAGCCTTGTCTCCTTTCTCTACAACTACGTAGGTACTACTACTACGTACTACTATCTACACAAGGGATGGGGAAAATATCTGACTGCGATTCTTCAAGGATTTCTGCAAGCCCGCTCCGGAAGTGCTTTTTTTTTTTTTTTCTTTCGATCCGCAGCTCTGCGGGTACCTCGTTTGCCATTCTGGCCGCGGGTTCGCATCAGGTGGCGGGAGAGTGTGTGGAGGGTTTTCTCTTTTTGCATTGTGCAGAAATGAGGGATGGATCTTGTTTATGTTACGAGGGCTGAAGTGCTTTAGAGGCTGGAGCTTTGTTCCGGCAAGAGGGAGAATGATTGGAGGTTTGTTGCAATGTCTGGGGTTTTCTGCGTGTTACTTCTGTCAAGGAGGAGGAAGTCCGACTCTCGATACTTGTTTCTTGGATTGGGCAGTAGAGGCTCCATCAGACATGACCTTCTTCAAGCTACGCAGAATTTGCGAGTAGTAGTATTCTATTAATACGATATAGGAGCTCCCCTGTGCTTGATCATCTCAATGTCCCACAAACTGAAAGACGCAGGATTCCGACCATCGACAGATCGGCCATCTGCCTTAACCCACGGAGATTGCCTAGTAGTACTAATGCCATCACTCCTACGACCACGGCATCAAATTGGAACTTCTCAGCTGGGAGAAAAAGAAAAAGCCCTTACAGCATCTCGCGGCATTGCCGTTGCAGCCCCAACTGGTTCTTCACCGGAAGCTGAGCTCCGGAAAGGCACCCAAAGCAAACGCACGGGGATTTCAGGCACACACCCCTGCCGGCATGAAAAGGAAGCTTACTACTTGCACTTCAGCCTCGAATCCTTCAGAAGGCGGCACGACGGATTACACGTGCGAAGTAGTAGTAATAGCAAACAGACTGGTACCTAATTTACACTTCTGTGATGCTTATGAGGTTACCGATATTACCACTGGACGTGTCTGTCGATGCCAGCCACCACGTACACGGGGGAACCAGAAGCATAAGGTAAGGTAGGTAGGTAGGTAGGTACATGTAGGCGCAAACCTCCCAAAGGCGTACTGTATCAAGATGAGATATGGGTAAAGGTTTAACGTATTCAGACCCTGCCTCCCGCTGGAGGGTACATCCCTGTCCGTCAATTTTTCCCCCCTTCGCCCTTTTCTCATCCTGCCGTCTGATCGGGAAACCCAGCCAGGTTGAATTAAGTATCCCGGTCGATCGGGATCCTCGGACAAGGGCCAGGGGGGTTGGTTGTATGTACTGTATCTTGTAAGTCAGCTGAGACATGGAAGAGTACGAAAGTACATGCACGGGGAAAACTGCACGTTTGAGACTTGGGATCGCGTCCGGCTGGGGTTCCGCGCTGCCGCGAGATATGGGAAACTCACATTGCAGTTGCTCTGAACAAGCAGAAGACGGCCACTGCTTTCGCGCGTGGTTGGCTGTGCAGAAAGGTCTGTGTACCTTACATACGCTGAGATTGCGTTTGGGAACGATATGGAATCAGTTTACGTACTTTGTACTGATTCGGTCTTTGTGCCCTTCTCTTCTCCCCTCGCGTCTCCTCACGTACGAGGGTATAATATCTGAGATGTGGTTGGTAGAAGCTTGCTGGACGGCCTAGCCAGTTCCCTTGAGATGAGAGCTCCGCGAGTGTCCCTGATACGCGAATATTCTTCACCAAACGGCTCATCGACTCTCTCTCTCTCTCTCCTCTTTGACCAGGCAACGCACACGCTTCGACTGTGGGAGAGTTGGACTGCGTACTTTGCGATCACTCATAGTACAGTAGCGCTGGTATTCTGCTTCTCGTGTGCTGGTGACACAGGCATTCGGCCCATCCCACACGTGGCGCAAGAAACAAGGTTGCATGCCGTGTGAAATGCCGGAGACTGAAGAATGCAAAAAGCTTCGTCTCTATGGCTACACAGTTCCTGTTGGTGTGATGCATGAGTGGAGGAATTGCTGCGCATCGTAGATTTACGCGCTCATCTGGAGGCGTTCTTATACTTGGTGTTAGATACATAGTAATCATGATGTACGGGGTCGAATTGTTGGTATATGTATCTCCGTAAGTGTCTTCCCAAGCAGGCCTGCCGCTTCTTGTTGGCACATGGATTGAGAGAGCAGCGCCTGTTTATGGCGACGAGCTGGTAGAAACATAGTAGTAGTATAATTCGTACCACAGGGCGACGTGCCTGCGCTGCGTTGATGGGATATGCAGCCATCGGGGACGTAATTCCGCTTGGATCAGGACCAAGGTTGATGAGGCTGATGCACTCGTGATATGTAGAAGGCTTTTTGCGTGTGTCTTGACTGACCCGTTTGTCTGAGCATTTGCTGCCCATCTAAAGTCGTTTCTGCTTACCCTATACTTGACCGTTGATGCATCAATATTCCACAACTTGGGAACCCCCATCCGTTCATCTTGCTCTGGTTTTACCACACAACTCAGTTGCAGTCTACAGCATAAAAAGAATGGTGACGCCGATTGACGAAAAAGGAGGGCCGCGTTCCTGTATCATGACACCATTGATTGCCACAGAGGTTTGTATTGGCGCGACAAAAAAAACCCACAGCTTAGAACCGCAAAGCTGCATAAAGGCGCTTCTATTTCAAGCAACGTGACGTCGTCCAGCTGTCTGTCTGCCAAGCACAAACTCCAACCCCAAAGTTTGGGTCAATTGGCTAGCGATTGGCTTATTCGAGCTCATGCCTGTACCTATTCAGGTTCAACTTGACCTATTTTTGGGAGGGCCGAGCCGTTGCCGGACAACAGTAATTCCCAGTTGGGGATCAACTGATCATCTGTTTGTATCAGTTGGGACGTTGCCGCCGTGATGCCATCTCGGTATTGATTGGCAGCGAATTGGATGTGAGAGCCCTGAGATGGACGTCTCCATTCGAGGGACCGGATGGCCCAGCCAACGAATAATACAAAACGGGCAAGTTTTAGCAAACAGTCTCGACGTCTCGGGCGATGGAGGTGAGGCGAGGCGAGTGCATATTTTGGGGTTGTGGCTGAAGCTGAAGGCGACGCAAGATGCCGCCACGGCACGCGCAGACACGGGGAGGCGCAACGCCCGGTGATGAGTTGTACGAGTACGGCAGTGCCTCTTTTACATGAATAGGGTGAGTGTCTGCTGCATGTACATACGATCCATGACGTTGGAGTGAGGGAAACGAGCCGCTCTCTCTTGGGCCTCGCGGGTTCATGCTGGCTGCCCTGGATGCTTGCTGCATTGGGGGTACCTACCAGATACCTGCCTCTGGCGGCCTCTGAGTGCGGACGCTGCATGTACAGTAGCGGTACATGTGGTTTTTACTTATTCAGGTACAGTAGAGCAGACGTGGCGCGCTTGTCGACGTGGCGTAGGCGAGATCATCAGCCTCACCTAGCGGGAGATGGGAGGTGGTGGTTGTTTCGCTGGCACTTTTTGCGTCGACAGGCTGTCGTCAGTCCTCTTCAGGTTCCTTTGTTTTGCTTGCTTTGTCGAGAGGGAGAGTCTGAGTCTGCCTTGGGCGACGGCCTTGTGGGTGTTGGCTCCATGTATGCATCAGGTACAGACAGAACCTACATCCAGGCCAGACATGCATGCGACGAACAAAGAGACAGGTCATGACGGGCTGGAACACGATACAGAACAGAACAAACCAGACCAGACCAGAGCCCGAGTCAGGCAGGGGATGCCCTGCCACGCCCCAGAAGATACGACCCTACCAGGTCCAGCGCACGACGTGCCCAAGATGCCATCAAGCCCTTCTCGGCGATGCGCATCGCGGTCTCCGGCCCACTCGAATCCATTCTGCTAAGGCAGTCTAGCGCTCTAGTGTTGTTGTTGTTGCTGTTGTTGCTGGTGTCGTTAGCCCTGCTTTCACCGGCTGGATCCTCCTTGATTCGAGAGCCGTCTTTTCTCGACTGGGTTGCCGTCGGGTCTTGTCTCAGCTGGGGTTGCAGACAGGTCGCCGTCGCTGCGAGGGTACGTGCTGCAGATGCCATGGCGCGGCAGAGCGTGCATGTACCTGCTCCGGCCGGGGGACCTGCTGGGTACACGTGCGGGAGGAGGACGAGGTCGCCAAAGATGGGGGGCCGTGATGCGGTTTGGCATTGACTGACCTCCATGCTCGTACATACCTAATGTACAGTCAGCTAGGCACACACGGGCGAGGCAAAGGACAAAGAAAAGGCCTTTGAGTGCTTGCTTGCTTTGCCTGCCGCGCCATTGGGACTTGCTCCTGTGTTGCATGTGCCGTTTACGGACAAGATTCGACGTGATCCGAGTACTAATATCTCGAATACATCTTCCGCCTCCCATCTTCATCTTCCATCGTCTTCTCGATCCTCCATCCCTCGGTCCTCGCATCTTACCTCCAGAAAGGCGGCCGCCTCCTTTTGCCAGCAAGCAGCATCACCTTCTGCTGTGCTCAAGCACCCCTGGAAAACGACGCCCTGCCGGCCTCGAAAACGGTCAGCACTGCATTGGGCCTCAAACAGGTTGGCCAGCGGATAGTCCATGTACCAGCACCGACTAAGTCGCCAGCCTGCAGCCCGACGCTCCACCATCCGAGCTTTGCTGTCTGCCAAAGGGTGGTGACTGCACGATTCCATCCTGTTGTGCGAATACCTTGGAAGGGAGCCGAAGCCCCCAGGCCAGGCCCAGGACCAGCGCATCGATCCAAGGTCGACGTCGACGCCGCCTCGCCCAACACGCACGACACCATCTCGTCGTCACCTCCTTTCTCTCTCTCTCTCTCTCTCTCTCCCTTTCAACCTCTTCCGCCCTCCCTGGACCATTTTTTCTCTTTGCCGATTTGCTCTGTAGCTTTTTCCTTTTTGGCGCAATCGAGGCCTTGCTTGGGGCCACGAGCCCGAGACGGCGGGAGGCATCCGGTGTGCTTTTCCTCTGGGCCGTTGCAGCGGAAAAGATTAAAAAGAAGAAGACGAGGACGGATGAGCATTGGTTTCTCATCGATCCATCAGCCCGGCCTCTCTACTGGACCTGGAGACAAAGAGGAGCAACAGACCAGCGGCTACTCTGCGGATTCGCTCGATCCAATTCGCCCAGCCGACGTCCATTGAGCTCATCTGTCGTCTATTCCGTATTACTACCTTACCTTACTTTGTATCAACCCGCCTGCCGATTCCCATCAAGATCAGATCGGATCAGACCAAACCAAACCAACCGCCGCAAACCACGTCCTTTCATCTTCAATTCCCCTCTCCCCCGGTCTGCGCGCTGACCAGCCGCTATAACACGACACCTACAGCCCTCCAGGTGCGCCGACATTTGATCCTGGCCCGGCCGTCTGAGGCCCTGCGGTGCCCGCGCTTGCAGCAATTCCAGCCCCCCATTTTCCACCGGCCGCCAATTCCCTCCCCTGCCACCAGCTTTTTTCTTCTCTTCTCGACATCACCGCCCTTGTCCGGCCCCGTTGCGCCTCTGTCTGTCTCTGCCCTCGGAGCTGAAGCCCAACGTCTGCGGGCAATTGGGTCTCCTGCCGCCTCTCGCTGCGCTGCACGATTCACCTGCGTGCATATTCGCATTTGCATTTGCATCTCGCGTCCAGCTGCTTGTTCCTGCCGCCGCTTCGACCCCTTGCAACGCCGAGCTGAATCGGCATCGGCGTCTCCCCTGGGCCCCGTTTGGCGCAAATCACCTCACCGTCGCTGGTCCGAGGCGGGATACCTACCTAAAGCAGCGGATTGTTTACTCTACCTTGGCCTCTCCTTGTATCGTTTCCCCCCCTTGCTCTCGCTGCTCGAAGCTGGCTGTAGCACCCAATTCACCCCCCAAACCAAACCGACGCATCTCTCTCGCAGCGGCATCCATCGACAACGGCGAGCTCTCTCTGGTCCTCCGCCCGCGCCTCTTAGCATCACCGCCGGTCAGCTGGCGGTGACAGACCTCGTTCAACTTGTCTCTCCTCCCCCCTGCGCGAGGCGGCGCTGCAGACTTGTCCCAACGACCTCCTCCCGTCCTTCACGACCGTAACGCGATCCACGAGAACACGCATTCACCCAAGCAACGCCAGCAGCAGCAGCAACACGCGCTGTCGCAGCCTCCTCACGAGCCTCCCACCCGGCTCTCAACCCCGTCTTCGCAGCACAAATCACTCCGCCGGACCCCAAAGTTCGACTCTGCGCCCAAGCCCCAGCCCCAGCCGGAGCGCCGCGTCCACATCGCCGCTGCCTCGGCCGGCTTCTACCCCAGCATCGCATCCTTTGCCGACTCCGACTCGTCCATCACCGGGCTTGGGCTGTCGCTGTTCGACGAAGCTGACGGGGAGAAGCGCCCGCAGTCTCGGTCCCAGACCCAGCGATCGCGTGAGGATCCCCCGAAAGCCCAGAATCCGGAGGCTTCCAGTGACGTCGCGCAGTCGAGGCATCTGCTTAAGACTCCTCGCATCTCCAAGCACACTCACGACGCGATCCTTTTCGCTCTAGAGGAGGCCCTTCGCGGACCTCACCCCTTCACAGCAGACGAGGTCGAAGAATCCGCCAGCATGTCCGACCTGATGACCGGTGGCCTTCCAGCCACTTCCAACGGCGCCGCCCTCGCTCCTGGTCGCATGCCGGCCGCTGCGCCCGCGCCCACAAGCTCACCATCGGGCATTAGGGGTCCTAGGATGATCATGCAGGAGCGGGCAGCCAGAGAAGCGCGCCAGAGGGCAGAAGCCAGGCAGAGAGCCGAAGTTGAGCAGCAGGCACTGGAGAAGAGTCGCGCCGAACAGGAGGCGCGCGTGCAGCAGGAAACGGAGCGTCGCAATGCGGAGCGGCGCGCTGCTGGCGTTGCTGCTGGCCAAGGCGGCATGGCTGCCGATGGCCAGCACCCTCTTAATCCTTCACACATGGGCCAAACCACCCTGGACCCGTCATCACATCCTTCGCGAGCTGCCGTCCCACCCAACCAGGCCCTCCCGCCCCAGCAGCAGCGTCCGGCGCAGATGGCTGGCAATCAGCAGCACCAACACCACACCCCTCCCCAGGCGTTCCCGGCCGGGAACCCAGCGGCAGCGCAACAGCACGGAGAGACGGCTGTCGATCCCACCAAGCCGCGCAACTCGTTTCCCCATGCGTTTGAACGGTGGGAGACGCTGTCTGCCCACTGGGAAGGACTGACGAGCTACTGGATCCGCAAGCTCGAGCAGAACAAGGACGACATCAACCGCGACCCCATGAGCCAGCAGCTGGCGCGGCAAGTTACGGATCTGTCCGCGGCTGGCGCCAACCTCTTCCACGCCGTGGTCGAGCTGCAACGCCTGCGCGCCAGCTCCGAGAGGAAGTTCCAGAGATGGTTCTTCGAGACCCGATCCGAGCTGGAGCGCGCCCACGAGGTGAATGCCATGCTGGAGGCGGCCCTCGACAAGGAGAGGAGGGAGCGCGAGCAGGCCATCCGCGAAGCCATCGACCACGAGCGCGGAGTATCCAAGACCCAGAAGCAGCTCGCCGAGATGAGAAAGGAGCTCGCCATTTCCAAGGAGGAAGCGCGCCGCGCGTGGGAGGAACTCGGGCGTCGCGAGCAGGAGGAGCGCGACAGGACCCTGTCGCTCCAGTCAGGGCATCCCACCGTCGTGGGCGGAGTCCAGGTAGTGCCGATGACCCAGGGCGGCGGCCCCAGCCGACACAGCAGCACCAGGGAGCAGCAGCACGGAGGCTACCAGTCCGACTACCAGCGACCGGCCTATTCCATCGAGCAGGCTGCCCAGGGCCGAGGAGGACAGACCACCGCGGGAAGCAGCAGCTCCGGGCAGGGACAATACCAATCTGGCCACCAGGAAGATCCGAGCCGTCGCGCAGGCGCTGGCTCCGAGGGCGGTTACAGCGAAGGTGAGTACCTTATCGATGCGCAGGGGAACTTCATCCTCGACGGGGACGGCCGCAAG